ATAGAGCACATGACTACTTAGTAATCCTTACCCAGCTAGGTACCAGGGGTCCATTACCGGTCCCTGGGGGGTTTTCCCTCATGTATATAAGGCAGCATCCTGGGGCACCCTGTCCCCCAGTTCTATTCACTTCGTTGTTGCGCTTAACAGCATTACCTCCCCCACACTTAAGTGCTTTATCTCCCCCCCTTACCATCAAGCTATAAGGTGGGTTTATAGGTTTTGTGATAGTTGAATAGAACTGCTTTAAGGTGCACTGGGCCCTGGCAAGGGTCCCTTGCTACCTGCTTTGTTACAGGGCCTATTGGTCGTTGCTATGCCCCTATGCTGCAAAGCGTAAGGTGGCCTTTTCATGTGGGTTCTGGGGGTTATGGTTTGTCAACTGAAAAGTGGCAATACCTTTTTGCGAAGCACCTACCTTCATTGGTCAGGGTTGAACAATTGGTGTCAACATGCTGAGCTTTTTGCTGGTCCCTAGGCGTAAGGGGAGGTTGCTGCCTTATGGGCAACATGCTGGAATGTGGTTTACCATTCTATGAGGCCTTAGGGCTTACGACTAATAACCAGCATGCGCAGCCTTAGGGAGAGTGTAAGATTCTCCCAAAACCACTTGCAGCGGGCGTGGAAACCCGACTGAGATCTGTATTCCCCCCTCCCTACCTGCTGAGAGAGAGCAGGAGGACGCCGACATGAAGCACGACCAATGGACCCTGTAGTATAGCACATACCCTTTTCTTCGCTCTGAAAAGAGCCAGCTGAAAAGCTGTTATCTAATCCCCTCTGCCGTAGCCATGCCGAAAGCCAAACCTTTCATCGTCACTGCTAAGCACGAGCCGACAGGCCTGCTTGAGCGCATCACCATCCACAATACGCACAAGTTCGACGACGTTGGCAAACCTCGCCGAATTGTACGCCCCACCATCAAACCACTCATTCGCCGCCCCTTCAATCCTGAACGCGCTAAAAAAGCGAAACACGACATCGAGGAGCTTGCACTTCATGCGCATCTCTTTAAGAAGCAACAGTTGCTCGATCGTATCTCCGACCCTGCTCCCCCCCTCATCGATCGTATCGATATGCAGGCGGGACCCTCCTACAAATACGAACCACCCAAGCCGCTCCCCAACATTCACTTCCAGCGCACAAAGATTTTGTTGCGCACATCTGAGTACAACGAGATGTTTGCCGCCACAGCCGACAGGCTGGAACTGGTATTCGCTTGAATGGAAAAGGAAGAAGGAAGCTTGGAGCCGGAAGTTGTGGCAAAAGTCAGGAGGATGGGCGATGGGTTCGACGAGTTGTATCATGGGCTGGAGAAGAAGGCACGCCGGCTTACCAACAGGCACTGGAGAGTTATCAAGCGCGACCTGAAAAGGATCGGGCATGTCTCCTTCGAAGACTTAAGCAGTCGCCTGCCGGAGATTTGTAATGAGTTGGCTGGCCTAAACATCACCTTCAAGTATGAAGTGTAGATAGTAGAATAAAGATTGGCAATCTTTTCTGGCATAATTGGCTTATATGGCATGAGGAGGAGATCTCCTTCGCTTTACTTTTTTCTTTCAATCATAAGTGAATATGGGCTAATCACTACAATAAGAAATGGCCCCATACATCTCCTTTGTTCCGACCGAAGCATTCGCTATCGCCACGGAAGAAGAGTGGCGCAATGCAATCTTCCAGAACGTGAACGTCTCTGACGAACAAGCAGCTCTGCTGCAAACGGTTACTGCAAATGCTGCAGAATTGACCACTGGACGAGTCAGAGACTGGATTGGTCGCCTGACCTTAGAAATAAGCAGGCACTACGACGGATACCTTCAAAGCCTCCTTCGAGAGGTTGAATCCCTGCATATCACGGTCCAGAATTAGCAGGCGCTGGTTGATTCCTACAAGCAACAAGTCGATGCACTACCTGCGTCAACGGGTAGTGGTCATTCCCGTCAACCTAAGATTGGGGAGCCTCCGGCCTTCAAGGGCAGTGTGGATAAGACCAAGCTTGAGGAATGGCTGGACCTGATCGTACTGTGGTGCGAGCATGAGGGAGTGGCCACGGACAAATAGTGAATCGTCATGGCCCTCTCAAAGCTGCAAGGACCAGCTCATCAGTACATGAAGAGCTACTATGTGAAAATGCGGGAAGGAAAGGATCTGGGCACCTGGAAGGCATTTGTGGCAGAACTGGCCCAGATATACGGGCAACATGACGACAAGGAGGGTGCAAAGAAGGAGATCACGGCGCTGTTCATCAATAAGGATCTGGCCTCAAAGGACTTCGTGAAGTACGCTGAGAGGTTCCGCACCCTCAGACGTCTCACGGAGTATGACGATAGTCTCCTCATCGACAAACTCCGGGAGGTTATACCTCGTGACATGCGATTGGTGTTGGCCGGAAAGGACGAGTCCACCTTGCCAAAGGATTGGACATTGTTCCTCAACATCTTGCTCAACATCAACAAGATCGTCAACCCGGAGAAGGCACGAGGCTCAGTATTCAAGAACAGTGGCTCGGATAATGGCGGCGCTGTCCCCATGGACATCGATTCGGCTGAAAAGTCGAAATCGAAGGGTAAAGGCAAAGGCAAGGCAAGGGACGCTGAGGCCACCTCGACAGAGGCAAAGAAGTATTGCGTCATCTGCAAGTCGAAGACTCATAACACAGATGATTGCTACAAGTTGGCCAAAAATGCGGACAAGCGGCCGAAGACCCAAGGGGATGGCGCTAAGAAGGCACAAGGAGGAAGTGGTAACCCCGCGGCCAAGAAGGCTAAGAAAACGCGGGTTATTCAAGTCGAGCTTACGGATAGCGAGGACGACACGCCCCCGTCCACGAAAGCCATGAGCGCCAACACTGCGAGAATCGAGGAGATTGCGAACGTCGAGGAATCGACTCTGGCTGGGAAGGATGAACCCCAGCTGTCTGCAAAGACAGAACCCACCGCAGCTACCTCGGATTTTTGGAAGAAGTACATATGACTACCTGCGAACATGTACTTAAGG